TCAGACCGAGATATGTGCGAAATAAGAAATATTTGTAAACATTTTTGGTTATTTTTTGATATTTAGAAAATGTAAGTTTCCATACTGTCACCAAAAGAAAAGCCTTTCTAGAGAATTTAGAAACTTCATGCTCTCTTCTTTCAAACCAAGAAAAAGATTACACTGACCTTGTATAGTAATTGAGTTAAACGCATTTCTTAAGTGTACCGAACTTTTGGGACACCCTGTAGATAAGATCAGGTGACTCTTTTTTTTTTTTCTACGAGCAATATTTCATGGTAAGCATAACATTAATATAGATAATAAAAGCTAATGTCGTACGTTAACAATATCTTGTCAGAAATATATTTCATTGAATAATTTTAAAAACGTCAATAGATGGAGTTGAAAACTGTTTAAGTTTATAAAAACTAATCTCTTTCTCTTATTGGTCTGGTCATTCCATATAATATTATGTTGTGTTGTTTCCTTCCGATTATTTTATTATTTCGTAGATGAAATGTAATTGTTCTGATTAATTCTCGAAAGTATTTTTCCAAAAAATAAAAACAATGGTATCTTGTTATTGGTGTCATAAACAAACTTTAACAAATGAGATGACATATTGTAAATCAGAAGACGATGGAAAACATCATTTATGTTCTTCATGCCATTTATCTGGTCATGCATGTCAGTCATCATGTCCTTTATGTTGGCATGATATGGCTCAATATTTAATAATAAGAGATCGTTTATGTGCTGGTTGTATTAAACCAATAGATAAAAAGAAAACATTTGATGAAAAAGAACATCCATTATGTTCTCAATGTCAAAAATGTATTTTATGTTCATTTCGTGAACAAACTAAAAAGGATTTTTTTTCTTTATCATATCGTGAACATGAACCGCAAATTCAAAATATTCTTTATCTTATGCAAGTATGTGTACAACGTGTTGAAGTTGAACGTGAACCATGTTCGATTTGTATCGAACCATTAAATGAAAATGGTGATAATCCAGTTAAAACACTTGATAAATGTCAACATCGTTTTCATACAAAATGTATCGAAAAATGGTTTAAAGAAAAACCATGTTGTCCATGTTGTCGACATGTTTATCAAAACCATGATGAACCAAGTAAATTATCTAATGACTTTATTTTTGAGAAAAAATATAAAGCAATTGTTTCTTTTTTTGTTTAAGAATATAAACGATCTCGTGGAGATCATGTTCCTGTTTTCCCACCACATACTATTAATCGTTATGAATCGATTACACCTATGGATACATATTCATGAAGCTAATCTTTGTATTTTCTGTGATATTACAGTTTTTTTCCTTTTATTGTATATGACTTATAGTGTTACAATTTTTTTCCCTATTTTTTTTTCTTGTTTCAAAAATCTGGATTTATATCTAATTATCGGACATATTAATGTGTTTTCAGATGGCAACTATTTCTTATGCATCAAATCAAATTTGTTTATGGTGTAGTCAACCATTGATTCATTTACAACAAACAAAAATTTGTGAAAAACATATTATTTGTGATAAATGTACGATTAAAAATCGAACTTGTCAATCATCCTGTCCCTGTTGTTGGTATGATAATGGAACAAATTATATATCTACATATAATTTATGTCCTGGTCAGTTATTTTTCAAGTTATAAATAAACAAGATTAGTAATTATTTCAAATTTTAGTTTGTTGTAATAGTTTAAAATCTAATGGTAATCCACCTGTTTGTCATCAAAATCATAAGCATTGTCCGCAATGTTCACCCTCAGGATGTTATTTATGTAATTTCCTTGCATTACGCTCATGGATCAATAGTACATTTGAAAATCTTCCAAATGATTTACAACCTATTGTAATGGTATGTCATAATTTGGAAAAGATGTTTGAAGATGTACAACAGTCAAATGTGAATAATTCTAATGCATTGTATAATAGACAAGACTCATCAAACATGGATTCTGATGATAATTTAATGACAACAGAAAGTAAATAATTTTTTCTATTTTATGATAAAGAGATAAGAATGTGTCGATATATTGTTTTTTAATAGATTTATTATTTTTCTTCTATAGATTCTAATTTATCAAAATCAAATTCTCAAAATACAACGAATAATAATTGTGTCATATGTATGGATAATATGGATACAACAAGTGTTACACTTCCTTCGTGCAATCATTCTTTTCATAGAGATTGTATAGAACAATGGTTTCAATCAAGTGGAAAACAAAGTTGTCCAACTTGTGGCCATCTTTATGGAATCAGTAAAGGTATAGTTCGTTTGATAAAATGATTTCAAAAGAAAAAAAGATTTTTTGTTGAATATTAAGGTCCTCAACCTTCCCATGGGCAAATGACAATTAAATATATAACAACACCTTTACCTGGATTTACTACTGAAAATTATGGACCAAATGAAGCACCTACTATTGAAATAATTTATACAATTCCATCTGGTATTCAAGGCCCTTTAAATCCATTTCCGGGTCAACCTTACCAAGGAACAGTTCGTCGTGCTTATTTACCAAATAATCAAGAGGGAAAACAAGTGTTAGCTTTATTACAAAGAGCTTTTAATGATCAACATGTATTTACCATTGGTAAATCATCAACAACAGGACAAGATAATGTTGTTACCTGGAATGATATCCATCATAAAACAAGTATTAGTGGAGGACCTGATCAGTAAAATTTTTACAAAAATAAATTTCGAAACAAAAAAAAAGTATTTTTTTCATTATTTATCTTTAGATTTGGTTATCCCGATCCAACTTATTTATTACGTGTTCGTCAAGAACTTGCAGATAAAGGTTACAAGTAATAAAAAACAAGAAATAATTTATGGTTTTTATATTTGATGAAATAAATTTTATATTTTCTACATATAACACGTTGATTTAATTTCATGAACATAAATACTTTATCTAGAATGATTTTAGATTAAAAAAAAAATAAAATGGCTGCATCGTATTGGAAAAGTTCTCAGTTTGAACAATGGTTATTTGATCGTCAAGAATTAATGTCTTCTCGTCTACGTGATATTGCATCATGGCCATCTAATAATGGTTCATCTCCAATAACAGAAGATGAATATTTAAAAATTTTAATTTTTTATTCAAATATAATTCAACATATCGGTGAACAATATAAAGTTCGTCAACAAGTTATAGCAACAGGAATTATTTATTTAAAAAGATTTTATGCTCGATATCCATTAAAAAGTATTGATCCATGGCTTCTGTGTCCAACTTGTTTATTTCTTGCAGCTAAAGTTGAAGAATTTTCTACACTTAATCATCAACGTGTTTGTAATGCTGCTGCTGCTACATACAAAAAATATGTACATCTACTCGGTAAGTTTATCATTCAATTCCGACTTACTGTCTCTTCACCAATTGATGAAATTCGAGAAACCCTCAGTTCCTTTCAACTCATATCGAAATAAAACTATTGCAGATATATCACTTTGATAACTCTATATTGGAGTTCATTTTAATTAGAACAATTTTATGACACTACACTCGTATAAAAGTTTATTCTTACAGGTTAATTATTCATCTGTTAAAAAAATAATACGTATGTTTTTTTTCTAAAGGTTATAAATATTCAAATATGTAAATATAATATAAATAAATTTTATTTCTAGTAGATAGAAACTATGTTAAAGTTATATTGCGATATATTGACAAAAACGTTTTACTTGTTTTTGTCATCTTATAAAAAAAATATTTATATTGACATTATTTAAATAAATATTATTTTTAAACTAATACCTTTAGAAATACCCAAAAAAAAAGATCGATTCAGAGCTGAGTAAAATACTTGAAGTACTCGTACTGGAAGGCTGAGTACTCGCACTCGTACTCGAAGGGTCGATACTCGTGTTCGTACTTGTACTCGAGAAGGTCCGTACTTGCCCAACCTCCTGGATCGATTGAGATAGAAGACGGATATATCATTAATAGTTAAAATCAATTGTTTTTTAATTAATATAAAATAAAATCTTGATATTTATTTTTAGGTGGTCCCAATGAATATCCATATGTAATAAAACATATACTTGAATGTGAATTTTATTTACTTGAAATAATGGATTGTTGTTTAATTGTTTTTCATCCATATCGTTCATTAGATATGTATACACGTGAATTTCAAATTGATCAACCATTATTTGAAGCTGCATGGCGTATAATAAATGATTCATTAAAAACCGATGCATCTCTTGTATATCCTCCCTATGAAGTTGCTCTTGCTTGTCTTTTACTTGCTGCTACATATCGTGATAAAGTTGTATTGCTCAAACAATATATGATCGAAGCACAAATAGATGTTGAAAGAGTTTATGAAGTTGTTAAATTATTACTTAAATATTACGATTTAATGACAACTTATGATGCTGATTTACCAAATCATGATGGAAAACAAATGAAAGAACTTTTAGCTAAAATTCCTAAACCAAAAATAACTCCAATAGGATCATCACGTCCATCATCTCAACCTAATGAACAACAAATACAATTAGCCATGCAACAGCAAACAACTAATGGACATCAACAAAGTAATAATACAGGCAACATTTAATTTCAGATATTGTTTTATATAGTTTAAATTTATTTTGTTTTGTTCTTTAATAAAAAGAAAAATTTTTTCTCATAAAATATTATTAAAAAATTCAATCTTTGTTGTTATATATTGCTATCTTGATTATTGATTTTTATCATCAGTCAGTTTTTTTAATATTTATTAATGTATTCTATAAATATTTGCATAAATTAGAAATGCTTGATCGTACAAGAAATTTGTTACACAAAAAGTTTGTTTTGCACAAAAAATATCTTGATTATACATTCATCATTGATAAATACATAAAATAGGCTTTTGCTAATGATTTTATTTGCTTTATAATTAATTCTGATATTCTTACTAGTTCGATTTTAGAACTTTTCTTTTCTTATTTTCTATCTTGTGACATTGCTCTATTTTCTTTTTAATTATATTATAAGGTTCTGTTGATCGTTGAATGTAGAAAACTAAAATAATAACCAGTGATATTTGTTATGTTTTTGAGATATTCCATGTATTACCCTATTTAAGCCAATAAAATAATTCAAAAAACAAGAATGTTATGAGATAGTGATGAGTCAGAACAATCAACATGATGGTAATAAATATTTAAGGGGATTAAAAGATTTATTTTCTATTAACCGGTATTCATTCAATTTTATATAATTCAATACGAAAATATACATAATTAAACTTATTTATTTTTTCTTACAAATACAAGTATGCAGTTTTTTCTATTGTCTTGAGGATTTGGCTAGGTGGGTTTCGATATCTATCTATATTCACGCTGACAAGGAATGTGTTGCAAATTTTCGTATCTTTTTTTATTATTATTTCTCTTCGGTGTTTGTGAAGAGATAAGCTTGAAAATTATTAATATTTTACTTTTTAAAAGATTATGAATATAAACACGAAAAAATATTTTTTAGATAACGATAAATGGATACCAACTCGACATCATCATCGATTATAGTTCGTTCATATCAACGATCAGATTTATCTGCATGCCATGAACTATTTACTGAAGCTCATCGTGGATATAATAATCCAATGTCTTATATTAACAGTCATCTACAAGGAGATATGGCTGATATTGAAAAGAATTATCTTCAAATTCCAGGTGGACATTGGTGGGTAGCTGTTTCAACTGAGGATAATCGTATTGTTGGACAAGTAGCTGCTTTACCAATGCATTTGGGTGATTCAGAGTATTATTCTCGAGCACCTGAAGAACAACGTGATCAGACATGTGAATTACTTCGAATGGGTGTTAAACAAGATGTTCAAAGACTAGGAGTCGGAAAGAAACTAATTTCAACTTTGATTAATTTTGCTCGTGAAAATGGATATCGACAAATTCATGTAACTACTTTAACATGTATGGATAAAGCAAATGGTTTCTACCAAAGAAACGGTTTCATAAAAGGTCATATACAGAAAAAATCGCTCAGTAATACACCTGAAAACACGAATGATGAAAATAAATCGGTCAATAATCAACCAACAGATACCATTTTCGAGGTGGGTGCTATTATATCAGATGAAGATCAACGTTTGATGAAATTACTAGTTATGGAATCAAAATTTATCTACATTCAACATTATCATCTTCCAATATAATGAACTATGAGATTACGCTTATTTTTATATTTTCTCTGGAATGCATAAGATTAGAGAACATATAGTTGTTTTTTTTATCCAATCATTTCCGTGATTTTATTAATGATTGTCACTTATATATCGCATAAAGCTGTTGCATCCACTTGATATTGCTTATTTAAAATAAATTTCAAAACAAAACCTAAACAATTTCACTACCAAGCTTGTCTCTTGGATATTTATTTCATTGATACTTGTTATTTATAAATTTCCATTTAATCAATCTTCCTATATAAATAAACAAAGCGAATATCGTATTACTAAATTTGTGATTTTCACCGGAGTCAATAAATGAATATGTACATATACATAGTGGCAGTGTATAATAATATGATATGTTTAGTAAAACAATGGAGTTTGTATGCATTCATAAATCAGCAGATCATGAAAACAATTCAGATAAAGAAAGGATTGATTCAAGGCACTTTTATCTTCTAGAAAAAAAAATATCACTTTTATTATTAGTAATAGTCATATACAGTTTTTATCTCTAAGAATTGTAATTTATCGATGATAAAATAATTGTAACAGTTAAAAATACCTTGAATGTGACACAATATATTCATGCTGTATTATCAAGTAATTGTTACGATGCATCAATATTTATTGTATAGTTGAATATATGAATAAACATAATAATATTGGCCGTATTTTCTATTTGTCATGATTCAACTGGACAACTATTAAACTACTTTAAAAATTATTCATTTTTCATATATAGTACTGGGAATGAATATGACACCAACAATCTTAATGTATCTATTTCAACTTTGCTTTCCTTTAGATAAAGCGTCAAAACGTATTACTTTATATTCCAATACTTTACCATAATGTTTTTAAATTGAAGAAGCTATTCTAAACTATGAATATCGGTGAATATCTTTCCTCATTGATAAATATCGTCCCAGTGACTCCCATTTCAAAAAATAAAGGACAACATCTTTGTCGTTATCGTAATTTTATTTTTTCTGATTGGCTGACGACCATGCATACTGTGATGTATGTATTGCGGACTAATCTTGACAAATAAATGCACAGGAACTTATCTTTTTCTTTATTTGTTAGAGAATAAAATTGGTCTATTTAAATATCAGTTTTACTTTTCTACGACGCCATTAAAAATAGATGACTACAATGCAGAAATAAAGACTCGATCCTTCATAATTCGTGACAGATTCTGTATATTGATCTCAACTTATATGAAAACTGTCACGGATATTATTCCTGAGGCGCAATTAATCATTAAGGTTTAAAAATCACTTTAAAAAGGACTATGAAGATCTTGATTTTGGTTTAGCTAAGGAATCAAAGAGAATATTAAGTGACATATTATTGAAATATATCAGTTTTATTAAGTTCATATTTCTATTGTCAATAGCGATCCTTTCGTATTTTCATTTACAAAGGAATGCTTTGCAAGCTTTTGTTTCTTTTTATCTTATTAATATTTCACTTTGATGTTTGTAGATAATTAAGCTTGAAAATTATTAATATTTGATTTTTAAAAGATTATAAATATATTAACAATAAATGGATACTAATTCAACACCATCATCCATTATAGTTCGTTCATATCAACCATCTGATTTACCTGCATGTCAAGCATTATTTATAGAAGGACATCGTGGATATGGCAACTCGACATCTTATGTTAACAATGCTCTAGCAACAGATATGGCTGATATTGAAAAGAATTATCTTCGAGTTTCAGGTGGACATTGGTGGGTAGCTGTTTCACCTGACGATAATCGTATTGTTGGACAAATAGCTATTTTGCCAATGCGTTTAGGTCATCCATTATATTATTCTCAATTAACTGGAGAGGAACGAGATCATATTTGTGATGTACTTAGACTAGGTGTTACTCTGGATGCACAAAGACTAGGAGTAGGAAAAGAACTATTCTCAACTTTAATTAATTTTGCTCGTGAAAATGGATATCGTCAAATCCATGTAACGACTTTAACGCATATGAATAAAGCAAATGCTTTCTACAAAAAGCACGGGTTCATAAAAGGTCATATAGACAAGACACCGATCGGTGGTACACCTGAAAACACCAATGATGAAAATAAATCGATGAATAATAAACCAACATCTACTATTTTCGAAGTGGATACTATTATACCAGATGAAGATCAACGTTTAATGAAATTACCACCTACTGAATCAAAATTCATATACGTTCAACATTATCATCTTCCATTATAATGAACTAGTAGGTTATTCTTATTTTTGTATCTTTTTTTTTTAGTAAGAAAAATGAATGAACATCGCATTTTTCCATTCAATGATTTCATGAATGATATCTATTTACATGTCGCATTAAGCTGTTACACTCCATTTGATATTGTTTATTTAAAATAAATTTTAAAAGTAAAGCTAAACAATGTCACTACTAAATTTATCTATGGAATATTTATTTTAACGATACTTGTTATTTATACGTTTCCATTTAATCAATCTGCTTGTACAAATACAAAAAGTGAATATCGTATTATTAAATTTGTGATGTTACGAGATTTAATAAATGAATATGTGCATAAATATAGTGACAGTGTATAATACTATGATACATTGATAAATCAACAGATTATATCAAGATAATACTATTGTGTGATATTATAAAATAAACAAAATCTCGAAAGTAAACATCGTTTAGTTTTCACGTGAACATATTGGACATAAGTCTAGTGTCTTAAAAAACAGTTTATATTTTAGTGAGGCTCATAAACTGTTGTTAGACCTGTAGGAACGATCTCTGTACAAAATACTAAAATAAAGATCGAACGTGAAACGTTATTCGCATCCAAACAGATACAAATCCTGGTTTATGAAATTCAAATCTAGCAGCTTTGGAGTTATTCTAAACTGTGAATATTGGTTTACGCTGGTTATTCAATTCAAACGATTTTCCTTTAATCAATTACACCGGTCGACCGATATAGCAATCAATGATCGTTACCGTTGCATCTCTAGTGACTCCTATTGCAGAAAAACAAGGAAGAAATTGTTCGGTGCTCTCATAATTTTATTTTATTTTTGATTGGCTGAAGACCATCCATACTGTAATGTATGTATCGCATACTAGTCCTGTCAAATCAACACATAGAAGCTTATCTTTTTCTTTATTTGTTTGAGAACAAAACTGGAGTATTTAAATCTGTGTTTTAGTTTTATACAATACGATTCGAAAAAGATAATTACAATACAGAAATAAAGACTTCGATCCTTCACAGTTCATGACCAATTCTTTATATTAATCGCAACTCATATTAAATTGTCATGGATATTATTTTAGAGGTGCAATTCGTTCGTAAGATTTATAAACGATTTATAAAAAGACTAGGAAGATATTCATCTAGATTTAGTTAAGTAATCGAAAAAAATATTAATTCACATAGTATTGAAATATATCAATTTTATTAAGCTCATCTTTCTATTGATGATAACAAGTCTTTCGCATTTTAAGTTTGTTTCTTTTTATTTTACTAATACTTCACTTTGATGTTTGTAGATAAGTAACTTTGAAAATTATTAATATTTGATTTTTTCCGAAGATTCTAAATATATTAACGATAAATGGATACTAATTCTACACCATCATCCATTATAGTTCGTTCATATCAACCATCTGATTTACCTGCATGTCAAGCAATATTTACCGAAGCTCATCTTGGATATAATAGTCCAATGGTTCATATTAACTTTATTTTACAAGCAGATATGGCTGATATTGAAAAGAATTATCTACAAATTCCAGGTGGACATTGGTGGGTAGCTGTTTCAACAGAGGATAACCGTATTGTTGGACAAGTAGCTGTTTTACCAATGCGTTTGGGTGATTCATCATATTATTCTGAAGCACCTGAAGAAGAACGTGATCAAATATGTGAATTAATTCGAATGGGTATTAAACAAGATGTTCAAAGACAAGGAGTTGGAAAGAAATTACTTTCAACTTTGATTAATTTTGCTCGTGAAAATGGATATCGACAAATTCATTTAACTACTTTAACGAATATGCATAAAGCAAATGCTTTCTACCAAAGAAACGGTTTCATAAAAGGTCCAATAGTGAAAAAGCCGCTCGTTGATATACCTGAAAACGTCGATGATAAAACAAAATTTATAAGTAACATTCCGAGTTCTGCGATTTTCGAAGTGGGAGCTATTATACCAGATGAGGATCAACGTTTAATGAAAGTACCAATTAGTGAATCAAAATGTGCATACATTCAACATTATTCTCTTTCAATATAATGAACTATGCGATTATTCTTCTTTGTGTAGTTTTTGTTGAGTGCATAAAATTGTAGAATATATAGCTTCTTTCCGATGATTTTATTAATAATATTTATTAATATGTTGTATTACGCTGATGCGATTCTACTTGATATTGAGTAATTTAAAATAAATTTTAAAAGAACAGTAAAACAAATTCAGTACTAATTGTGTCTCTTGGATATGTATTTCATCGCTACTTGTTATATATCTATTTTTATTTTATAAATCTTCTTATATTATGAAGAGAACTCTGACTGAAAAAAACAACATTAGTTTTTATGGTATTCATATATTTATATAAATAAAGCGAATATTGTTTTACAAAATTTGTGATTTTAACCAAAAAAAGTTGATAAAAGAATATGCACATATATAGTGACAATGCACAATAGCATGTTACCTTTAGGAAAACGATCGAGTGTGTAATCATTGATAAATCAACAGATCATAGTAGAATGCGATTGAATGAATATCCTAACATTGATGATAAATCTACTGACATATTTTTATGTGTATTCGCTGATACGATCTTATTTTTTTTTCGGTCTGTCTTGTTATCAGTATAGTCAACACAAATAAAATAAGTCATTTCATTGTTTATTCAGATTTTTTTGTCTTTTGTATGATAAGAAAAAAGAATAGTTTAACATTATGTCAATCTTTAATTATACGATTAATTCCCGTTTGGTTGTACCATTCGAACTTGACCCTATTGCTAATCTATTTTTGTCAACACTTTCATTTATTATTCGACGATAATGTTTGTCCAATTCTTTCATTTGCCTTTTTCGAGAAATTGGTACATAGTAATACCAAATACCCATAGCGACATGCACAATAATATAAAGGCTAACAAGAACATAAAATATTCTTCTATCAATCCGAGCCCAATAAGAATCTGATTTTAAATTAATATATTCATCATAAATAAAAACAAGTGTACCAATAATCGAATGCCAAATACATAAAATAATTAAAACAAAAATAGATACAATTGCATATAAATCGATTAATGTCAAATAGGAAATATTTGGCTAATAAATAGAAAATAATAATTTAAAAAATAAATATGATTACTTGATTTTTACCAAAGCATTGCTAATTGTCAATCGAAATGCAATTGATGTAAGAAGAAGTGTACATGCTATAGCAATTCGAAATTGAACACCACTAATTTATTTTAAGAAAAACTATTAAATTATAGACAGACAAAAGATTTTATACTTAGGTGGAATAGCAAATGAACTAAAACATACTGTTGTAATTAAAAATACAAGAAAATAACCATTCCAAAAGAAATAATCAGCACGACGAGCTAAACAGAAAAAAACACATTAAATTTATTTGATATAAATAATCTTTTGTAATACCTGCATGACACGCAATAGTTAAAATTGAACGTTTACGTCTATGCCCAGGTTTATCTAATGAATAATCTTCGTCATTTTGAAATAGAAATCCTTTAATAAATTTAGTTCGTGTTTGAACATGATCATATAGTTGCCACTCTTGTTGATCAAAAAATGCTTCACGATTAATACCTGATGGTCGATTTGAATCAGTGTCTAATGTAACTTCAGAATCAAATAAAGCTGATCCAATTGATATACTTAATTCTTGTATATCAGTTGGAAAATGATGTAAATCAAATTTGGAATAAAAACTTGCATTAACATCATGAAATTCACGTATTTGTATTTTTGAATTAGATTTTTTTATTGTATATTTTATTTCTTCTTTACAATCTTGACCAATATTAAGTAAAAATAATTGTGGATACCAATTATTTTCAGGAAAATTCTTTGAAAGTTTAATAATTTCTCCATTATTCAATCGAAATTGATCATCCATTGAAAGTGTAGAAAGAATTTTATTTTCATCATTATCAGAATTTAGAAACCAACGAGCTTCAATAGCTACATGAGCTTGAAATTTTTCTGCTCTCGTATCAATTTGACCTATAATGAAATTTTATGATTTATTAAAAACTCAATTTGAAAAACAAAATACTATACCTATTCGAAGAAAAATAAGACGTACAAATACAGGAATAGAATTATTACCTTTTTCATATTTATTTAAAACATGAAGATTACGACTAGCTATAAATATATATAAACAAATTATTAATCATTTAGTATTTTTCTTGTTTTTGTAACGTATATGTATAAATAGAAATTAACTAGAGTTTTCTATTACCCGTTTCTATCGTATGTGCAGTCATTGTTTTGTTTATTCTTTATCTTCTTGATATTGGATAGATTATATAAAATATGTTTCCTCTTTACTTCCAAACGATAATCGAGTATATTCAGTCAACCACACTACATATATATAGCGGCTTAAACGCGATGACGTTTTCGCCATAATATTTCTTTAGCTACTCGACAGTACACTGTATTTCAGAGTTCGTTTATAAGTGACAGGGTACATCTCTGTCATTGCTATAGCCCCGAAAAACTCCACCTTCTCCGAGCGTGTTATCGGAAAAGTATATGAGAAATAAATCTCGTTACACGATGATAATAAAGGATAAAAAATTTGAGGTAACGTTTCTATCCCTTTTTTTCTGCGAATGTGTACTATATACAAATCAGCAATCTGAAGTGTTCAATGTATAATAGCATTCTCTGAGAATCCTTCGTAGTGTAACGCGATGATGCTAGTTTTCCGATTAGAGTTTTCTATACATATTTTAGAGATATCTTCAACCACATAATGTAAGGATAGTGTACTACTTTTCATCACTACAGGAAATATGCATTAATTTTTGTGCTATTAAAGATTTCTACTCAAAAACTACCAGTAACAAATTAGGCGGGCTAACCTATCACGGTCTAATTTCTAAAAGATATTTCTTAATTTTCTTCATAAAAATATACTTGAGATATGAAACCAAGTACATATTTAGAATCAACGTGAAAAACTTCGCAGAATCCATAGAACTTCGTTTTTTTCGAAATTCTGACCCCGCTTATAAATAAGAAAAAATTTTGTATTCTCTAATAGAGTTATACGATTCTGACGTAGTATTTCGAATTAATTCTTTGTAGTTTGATGGTAATACTTTAAGAATCAAGAACAAGTTCTTACACATCGCTTAAAACAATTCTTGAGTGATGAATTGCTAATAAATATATTTTTGTAGAAAAAACTAGAAAAACGTCATCGTGTTACAATAAATTATTACAAAGGAAAAACTTTTAGACATGAAAATATATCCATGAGATAGCTCATGAAAAATTAGCTTTGGATAAATATTTTGAGAAGAAAAATGTTGTGTCTTATTGATAAAAAATAAACAATACTGAGTTTTTGTAACGCGATGGTGATATAACAATAATGAATACAATTTTGGATGCTATGCCAATACATGTGTTTACTATCATAGTCTTAAATTATCTTAATCAATTTATCATATATCTAGTTATTTGATACGATTTACAGCACATTTTAAGAAAACGAAATATGTTTTCACATACTTTCAACTATGCTCTATAAAATGGCAGCAATAAGTCCTCTGACTGTTGACTTCAAAACAATATTCTTCAAGGTGACGCGTTACGCGTTTAAGCCGATATATATATATTTATCTAAGTATATGATCAGTAGTCTGGTCTTACTCATCCATAATTATGTAGTCTACGATTATAGCTAACAATTCAAGGATGATAAAGAAATAGTAGCGATAAACTATTCAATTTTATTATTCTTGTAATTTTTTACTTTTTAGAATTATAGAAATAATATGGTAGAGAGAACAAATCCAAATCGTATCACGCTATTATTAAATAAGGATTTATGAGATTACACTTTATGCTGAGTACTTTTTATGATTTTACTCATCAACCTTGTATATTGTTAATACATTTATAAAATCTATACTTGTACTTTTAGTGTTCATAGTTCTAAAATCTCTCTTCATTTTCTTCTTGTAGTCATGAAAAATTGAATAGATACATTCTATCGATTCAAATTTGAAATAAATAAAAGTTTAAATAACATTCAATTTTTCTTTACGAACTATATTTAGTACAATTGATCATAATCAATATAAAACAAAAATGCCATTCATTTTTTTATACATACAATTGATAACGACGGAACTTTTACAAAGAAAAAGAAAAGAAAAACAAGCAAAATATTTAACTTGACAAGAAGAAAAAAAAGAACATTCTCAAAAAAAATTAGATTCAATTGAGTAGGCATTACACACTACTATCTTTATGTAGTTAATTTAATAAAACAACGAAGATAAATGATATGTTTATTTATTTAGTTAATGTTGATAAAGTTCGTTGTGATTGTTTATCAGATGTTATATTTGAAGTAGTTGCCATTTGTTTTTTGTCTGTTGATATTCCAAGATTATTTGCCTTTTCAGTTAATGGTGTTCTTTTATTTGCTTTTTTATTTTGTCCATCAATTCCATTACCATTTTTATTAGTTTCATTAAATGAAGATCCAGTAGGTGATCCTATTGAATCATCAAGTGATTTCATTAATTTATTATTATTTGTTCCTTTTAATTTTTTAATATGCCATACATGCATATGACGATCAAGACTACCACTAGCAAGAAGAAATTCCATTGAATTTCCACATTGTACAAGTGCTGTACATTGAACAGCACGTGTATGTGCTCGTCGTTGTACATGAAGTTTATCTCCATTTATTGCTGAATAAAGACGAATATCACGATTATCAAGTGGTATTGCTAGAATATCATGTGATAATGAAATACGATTACATGGTGAAACACATTCAAGTGATATAAGAGGTGAACAACTAGTTGAACGTGAATCCCATATATGAACAAAACCATCATCTGATGATGATACAAGACGATCATTACCAAGAAATAAAGCAGAATTCACAGCTTTTGTATGACCATTAAATATTTGTACAGAAGGACTTGGAGTTCGACAATCCCATAAACGAAATGTTCCATCACCTTAACAAACAAAAAAGAAATTCAAATAAAATATATAAATTTTCTTTGAGTTTATCGTATAGATAGATAGATAGATAAGGGTTTCATAGTACTTTCTCTTATTGTAAATATTTATTTAGTAATATATTGATTGGCTTCATTCTAATATGACATATAATTAAACAAATATAAACAGAATGTTTTGTATGTATCACGCATTAACTGTTTTCTTTTATTTTCTATTATATATTATATGCATGAATTAATAAAAAGAAATTTTCTTTTCTATTTTTCAAATATCAATATAAATTTGATCTAATTCATTTAGATACCAATTATATTTGACAGAAAAAATCTATTAAAAAGATATAATGATAGCACTTTTAGAATGGTCTAATATACTTGTTTCCTGATATGAATCCTTTCAAAAGCTTTTGTCGGTATTATAAATTCTAATCTATAAACATCAAATGAATAGATCTCTTTTTGTTCAAGCTCAATTCTAATAGAATTCATCGTGTCTTCTCAAAATGATGCTTGTGATAATTGAAAAAAAAGGATCCATGTCTAATAATAAAAAGATCTAGAATTTTACTCTTCCTTTCATCTCTATCGAAATTATTAATCCTCTTTTATAGAAAAAAACAACACATATTTTTCTTATTGTTGTCAATTTGCAATCAAGCATACTAACAGGAACTTTCTGAACACATAAACCAATAGTTCAGAACAAGTATAATTTTCAACTTGTTAAAACTATGCAAGCAGTCCTTCCTTCAGCTATTCATATTCTTGTAAGAAATCAATTTCTTTTTCGAGTACAATGGAACAGATCTGAGTGTCAATAGAAAAAAAGAAATGAACAATGATATTTAATAAACTTACGTGAAGAAGTGATTACAAGTGGTTTTGTTTGATGACAAGAGACATAGGTTAATTCTCCATCATGCCCGTAAAGTGTACGAAGTGAAGTACCCGTTTCCACCTATGTATATATGTGTAAGATTTCTAATAATATTTTACTAATAACTAACCTGCCAAAGTGTAGCACTTCTATCCCATGAAGCTGATACAATTTGATCACGTTGAAGCCAATCAGCACAAGATAAAACATCATCACCTCGTAAAGCTAATAAAGGACTACGTATAATTTGTGTATTCATTTCATTATCTTCATCTTCATCGTCTTTGTTTTCATCGAGAGAACATTTCCATATATGTACTTCATGATCTCCACTTGCTGTTAAAACTAAATCATGATCAAAATATCCAAATCGACATGAATTAACACTTCCACGATGACCTTGATATTGAATAAGAGAACGTCCTGTTTTTCTAGACCAAATAACAGATGTTTTATCAGCTGAAGCTGAACCAAAATAACGATCATCTAAACCACCAACCTATAAAATAGTATATATACAGATATAGATATAAATTCAATTGAATAAAAATTTCACCTGAACATCCCATATAACATCTTGATGTTGATTTGTTGATGAAAACATTAAATCATCAGATTGATTTCCTGTTCTTAGTACAACTCGATTTCTAATCATTGGAAAAATATTTGCTGCTCGAAGTTTACTTGTTGTTGTAACATGTGTATTATTATTATTATTGTTTAATCCACCATATCGTTCTAATTCTTTTCTTAAAGCAATATTTTCAACTAATACAGCTTCAAATTCTTTTTCAACTTGACGTAATAATTGACGAAGACGAACTTTTGATGCTGATGGATTTTCCAATGATGATAAACAAATATTTGTAACACCGAGTAATGGATCGATATTACTCGTATCAATAGATGAATTTAACGGATCAGAAGTTTCACCAATCATTGTTGCACATCTATAATCAATTCAATGAAAGATTATATTAAAAAATTCTTCGAGATTAAAAATTTTTTCATATAAATAATACATACTTATTCAGAACTGTATAAATTCGTTGTCGGCGATCTGACATTGTAACAAAAAATAATTAAGTTTTTTTCTTTATTAACAATTCATTCAATATTTCTTAGTAAATTGATTCACTTTTAACCATTATATGGAGAGAAAGAGAAAAAACGAAGGAAAGAAACCTTGAGAGTGATATGAGGAGAGAAAAAAAAGAATATCTATTGATGATTGAATCGTTCGTCGAACATGCTGTGTCTAGATCAGTGAATGCCGCGTTTCATTGCCTTATAAAACTGACAGATATTTTGTCCAAATTATCCGTCTTCAGATCTCTCTTATCAACGTTCGTAAAAACCAATGTTATGTTTACGTTCGAAAAGCTTTTATTGTTCGTATATATATAAATATATATGTCTCTTTACAGAAGAAAATAGAGTTGACAAGCCGATATTTTACAGAGGAAAACATTTTTTTCTTATAGGCATCGATAAGATGCGCAGACATAGAAGCATTTTCTTCGTTTGACAGGACGAGAAAGCGAAGGAAAACAGTTTTATCTGCCCTTTCATTAGTTTCATATTCCCAGGGGGATAGAAGTACTCTATAATGATGATGATGATCAATTATTTGTATTAATAATAATAAAAAACTGATTCATTTAGACCGTAAATATGACTTTTATGATAAGTTAATGGGAAAAGAACACTGTTAATCATGGAGATCAATTTTCATATATATCTATATATATCTATATATATATATATAATCAAGTACGTAGTAACTCTGAGTAAAAAATATAAAATACTATAAGTAGCTCTTTTTTAAAAAAATGTATTCTAATCAAGTGTTTGATTTTAAAAAATAATAATAATTGAGATATAGATAAAAAGTAATAATTTAAAAAGAAGAATATTTTTTATTTATAAAAAGAAAAAAGAAAAAAGAACAATACTTAAGATAATCTTTGAATAAATACATAATAAACAGTATATTTTTCAGTGCGTGTCATTCTATAACTAAAGAGAGAAAGAAAAAAACATGTTAAACAAGAAGACGAGTCACTTAAATGCAGATTATATAGGATGGTGAATGTTATGTCGAATCAAATATCTAGTCTATTTGTTTGTTGGAAGCAATAGACTATTGACTGGCGACAACTATAGTCAAACTTATAGTAACCGTTTATACTCTGAAAATAGTATGATGCCAGAAAACAAAATGACAAGAACGATCTTTATATTGACTAGCTGTGTTTGATGGTATGTGCTATTGAACATACCAATCTATTGACGAAGAGAAAACGTCTATGAAAGAAATCATAAATTTTATGTTTTTCCCACTATTTAAACTCTCATAATTGAATACGTGCTTTTATTCTATGATATTATAACTGTTGTGTTTAATAGATCATATATCTGAATAAAATTCAGGTAGATAGTATTGTTTTAACTAATAACATTGATAAAAGATTTTGTTGTATTTCGCCATAATTTAGTGAGATGTTTAGAAAACTTTGCTATGAGCGACAATGATTTAAAATTCTGAGATAACAAATTCTATAACATTAGAATAATATCATAAATAAATAAAATATAGAAAAAAAATTAGATATACATCTTGTTTTATTATAAATATAGAAAATTTCGATCTTAGACAACCATTTTTTAACCAAATATACAAAAAACACAAAATGAAATACAAAACAAAACAGGAACATTAATAAATACATTGTAAATAAGAATACAATATCCTAAGGGTGTGAGTATGTGTTTTACATTTGCGATTAAACATTGTAAGTTTTAGGTCTGACAATGACAATTGATATAGTACTACTTGTCGAAATATTACTTATATTTGCAAGAGAAAGAATAAAAGATAAAATCAAACAATTAAACCACTTTTGACATCTTGTAAATTTAAGCTGTAATTATTAGTAAAAAACAATTTAGTTTCTTCCATTTAGTATGATTACTACGTGCCTTCATTTGTAATAAAAGTCAAAATTTCATTGTCTATTCTGATTGAACGTTGTTCAAGCTCCGGATTTAAAATGCGTGGAAAATACGTTTACGGATCCATTATACTCTGTTATGATTTTGATACTTTTCTGCGTGCAGTTTACGTTTGAGAAGTTCCGATGAAATTTGATTTTGTTGAAGGAGGGGAAGTTCAATGATACCTTCAATTTTGTTTTTCGAATCGATTGTAGTCTAGCATCAGATTATACTTCGCTTGATAAGCGGAATTGTTCACCTATTTAATAAGTTCCAAGTTGATTAAGTTTTTATTTACTTGTTTACGATTCATATTATGATTTTGGTTAAATCTAACTCATTATCATTTGAAAAGGGTGTGCTTGAAACCAAACAATAAACGAATAAAAACATATCTGTAACGTGCATTGTAGACAAAATTATTTGAGAAACTGAACAAGAGTCATCCGTCTTGAAGTCCAATTAACAAGAAATCAAATGTAAACATATTAGATTGTTTTCATATATGATAAACAGATATATATATAGTGAATCAGAAAAGCGACGAATAACAGAAAAATAAAGAAATGAATAGAAACAACCACATATATATGCATGCAGTGGCTTACTGAAATATATCGAAAAATAAAGAATATGACTAGTCAATGAAAGAAAATACAACAAGAAAGAAAGTTTGTCAGCGCAGTTCAGTTTGGACTGAAAATATGGAACACACGTATGTTCCTATCAAATACACCTGATGATCTTTAAGTCCTTGGTCTGCTCTTATCTCTGGAAGAAAACGTTTTTGTTGACATTGAAATCCGTTCACAGGTACTATAAAGGTTTCCCTATGCCATAGCGTCTGAATGTAATGTGTGGGTGATATATTAACCTATTATTCATACCTGTATTCTCATTTCAGGCCATTCTTTGTCTTATATACCCAGCAGTTTTTGGCTGTTTCAAGCCATTAAAATGGCTTGGAATGAGCGGCTGCCTTAACTAGTACACAATGGCCCTTGACGTTGATTGTCAAGATCGTCAATGAGGGAAGGAAGGAGAACCGGAAATCTTGAACTTACTGATCAAAAGTTCTAATCACAAAGTTACTTAGCCGTATAGTAGATTTTAAGAAAGTTTCTTTCCAGAATACTATGTATTAAATAATAATCTTAGACAGTAAAACCATAATTTATTCTAAAAATCATCAAATATATTTTAAAATGATTAATTTTAAATTATTTTTTAATTTTAAAATATTTTTTCTGTGTATTTTTTTCGTTATCCTATTCTGTGGATTCTTTTTTACCATTTCACGCATTCCAATGTCAACTGAATTCTCATATTAACTGTAACATATGTATGACATCTGCTTTTATTTATAATCGATATAAAAAGTTTACTAAGTCATTCTTTAAATATACAATCTATAAATAATTACAAAGTAATGGTGAAGGTTTTTTGAAGGTCTGTTGGTTAAACTTGATGTATTTTTATTTGGCTTTTTAAGTATACAAGAATGAAAAGAAAATAAATAAAATGATAAAACAAACGTTGTTTGTGTATTATATGTTTTCATATTATTGTTATAATATTGATAATTATAAAAAAAGGTAGAATTTCATTGTAAACTCATACGAATCAATACAATATATAAATATTGTTGAAATAATGAGAACTCGAAATATCTACTTTTCTTCATAAATTTTATTGAATATTAAATTATGAATGTCTTTATCTTATACATTATATTATTTTCTCATGAAAATAAAATGAATAAAGATCTCTGTGTTTATTATAATCGAAGCCGTTTCCGATGTAAATATGATAACAAGAATTTTAAATTTAAAATAATTTTTTAATATAATATTGAACATTAATTATACTCTATCATTCATAATGATCAAGTTAAATTTATATACAATGCATAGGTAGAGAAAAAGTCTGTCTAACATGAAAATATAGCGTGAGACGTAGTACATTTCCGAGTAGACGAACATGAATAGTACGGAAATTAATAGTAACTAGAGTCAAACATGTGTCTAATGACTGGTATAATAAGTGAAATGAAAAGCAACTAAAGATTGAAGTCGATCAATTGAATCATTCAGTTACAAACAATCTTCATCTTAGCTAACATGGCCAGTGGCAATATTACCTGCCCATTCATTAGTAAAAATTCAACTCTACAAGTAAAAAATTGAATTGAAATTAACATAAACTAAAAATGAAATTTTGTATAAATTTTATATTTCAAGATGATGAATTTCATCTTTTTTTTATGTCTTTACGGATAAAAAATCATATTTGATATATATTTATATATATGAGATTTAATATTCATCAAAATTAAGTTTGCTTATTTTAATCTATTGTTGAGATAAGTAAAAAAAATCTTCTGCATGATTGGTTGTAATTTATTCCACGCTTCTCTTCTCTTAACACATTCCTTTGAAATTTTCAAAACAAAAGATTAATTTATTCAATAATCAGTTTCTTTCATATCCTTTTTTTATGACATCAGATTGTCATTTTTGTGTAATACATGTCGAATTACGCTTTAATTACTAATTAGATTGTTATTTAAACGTCTATATGCATCAACTTGAAATGACGTTGTCATCGATGTTCGGTGTCAACTGTACAAAAGTGATCTGATAATAATTTTGAAAAACTTCATTCACTCTTCATAGTGTTATAAATGTCTTGATTTTTTTTCCTTCTTCATCCAATGTCGGTCAAAAAAAAATCTCTTTTTTCTTCTTTTCTCACTCGCGTTCGTTACTTAGTTTGGTCGGGCAGTTCAACTTCACATTCATTTTATATACACTTTTGACTTATTCTCCTTTTTTTTTCCTCGCTCTCTCTCCCTCTCTCTCTTGTTCAAATGGACACGCAATTTAAAGTAGAATAAGAGAAAGAAGAAAAAAAAAAGTGAACGTACAGATGAATCAAATAGGTGCATATATCACAACATCATTTTGATATGTAACACAGGTATATATCATTATTTCTTTCTTTTTTTTGAATAACTTATATCAAAAAAAAATATTTTCTATAATAAAGATTGATCTGGTTTTCTTGTTTATATTAAAAGCTATTTCGATCGTTTTATGTATACATGTGTGTATTTATATACATTGATTTCCTTCATTTTATGTATGTCATCGTTTGTCAAAGATGAAGAGCCATGTTAATGTTAGATAGGTCACTTAATGAACAGTCCTCATTTATAAGATGATCATCAATATTGAGAAAAGGATTTGTCTTGTATGAGAATAAAAATGACCCTGTTTGATAGATTGAGAAGGTTCAATGTATAGAGAGGGAGTGTATACATATATATATATGTCCATATGGTTTATTTACTTATTTCAATGAATTTATGACATATAAATCGATATAAAATGGATAAATGATCGTAATCAATTATTTTAATGAATATTAATAGTAAAGTAACAATGTAAGTCAATTTAGAATTAATTTTTCTGTATTGTAAAATATTTTTTTTACAAGGAAATTTGGCGTCAGTTGCACATTGACAAAAGTATTATTTCTATAATTGTTTGAGTGAGATATTTAATGAAATGTTATTATAAGAAAAAGAAAACGAAAAGTACAGAATTTTATTGTATGTATTACATTGAAAAATACTTTCTTCATGCCGAGCACATATGTTCTTGTTCATGTAATTCTTTCCAGCGGTTTTATCGTCTCACTTGGTGGTGTTCCCAGCAGATGTACACACACATATGGAAGACCTTTCGACCTTCATTCTGCTTGCAGACTCATTAGAATTACCATTCTTTTCTTTTTTCTTTTTTTTCTTTTCGGCACACGTACCACTTATATCTTCAAGGTTTTTTACTCTCGGTGCCAGTACACAGATGCTCTATAAAAGCTATTAGAGTGGGTCACCCAATTATTATCTTTTCCTACATAACACCAAAAAAAAAATGCTCAAGTAAGAGAACAAAAAAAGGAAAGATTACGTCATTAAAGGCCTTGTATTCACGCCTACATGAGTTTCTATGTATTTCAATTTGAACTAATTTAATTCTTTCTTTTTTTTTCTCAAAAAGAAAAGGAAGAGAATGGAGAAAAATTGATTGACATTGTTCTTTTTTTTTCCTACTGAATAAATTTTACAAACGACTTCCTTATCAGATTGTCTCATTCATACACATACACACACACACACACATATGTATGATGAAGATTAAAAACTGACATCGATTGTAGAACGATGAAGTGAGCGCAAAAGAGAAAACAAATCATAGTGATAAAGATATATATATATATACATATATAGAGATATCATTCTTTATCTTATTATTTGTTTGAGAATTAAATCAAGACGAAAATATTTTTGTGTTCAACGTCATAGGAACATTGACAACAACTTAATCATTTTTATCGTTTTTTACTTAGAGATGAAGAAGTTATTTGGTTTGGCCATCACACTCTCGTTCATTTTCTTTATTTATTCTGCTTTCTCTTGTTCGTCTTGTAGACAGACTATCGGTCACTTATTCTCTATCGATCGTTAACGTCATACGCGCATTCTTCGTTGTTATTGTGATGTTCATCATATGTACACCTTAGAGAACGAAAGAATAGGACAACGAACATCGCTAACAATCTTATCTTTCAATGTCCAATATTGAGGTTAACAAATATATATTACTTTCTTTCTTTTTTTTCTTTTTTGCTACTGTTGCTTGAATAGAAAAGAATGTATTGAAATGATGTAATAGTTATAACTAACAGGTGCCTCTTTTGTTTGATTCTTTGAAATTTTCTTTGAAGAGTATCGTTAAAAGATGGACATGAGTTGCTTTGTTTTTATTGCCCCAGACAGACATCGACCGATCGATTGTATACCGTTCTTTTCTTCTCACCTTCACCCAACAGCTACATTGAACCGACTGATAAAAAGTGAAAGTAAATAAATCAAATAAGAGAAAAAAGGTAGAGAATCGAATTACGATAAAGTGTGTTCGTGATTGTAATAAAATTTATTTTAAATAGAAAAAATCTCTTTCTAGACAGCAGTTAAAATGTGTAAATTGATATCGGATTTGTGAAAAGAAAATTA